CTAAACTATTCGAACTATTCGAACTATTCGAAATTTTTCGAACTATTCGAACCCCCTTGGCTCGAATAGTTCGAATAGTTTGGGGCACCAGTTTTGTGCGGCATTTGCAGGACTTTTGCAAGGTGCCAAGGGGATCCCGGCAAATTTTGACAGGCAACGTTGTTCCTACCCTTTCCCGTTTTGCGTGGTTTTTGCAGGACTTTTGCAGGGTGCCAAGGGTATCCCGGCAAATTTCGACCCGCAAAGTTGTTCCTACCCGTTCCCGTTTTGTGTGATATTTGCGGGACTTTTGCAGGGCGCCAAGGGGATCCCGGCAAATTTCGACCCGCCAAGTTGTTCCTACCCGTTCCCGTTTTGCGTGGCATTTGCAGGACTTTTTCAGGGCGCCAAGGGGATCCCGGCAAATTTCGACCCGCAAATGTTGTTCCTACCCGTTCCCGTTTTGTGTGGTATTTGCAGGACTTTTGCAGGGCGCCAAGGGGATCCCGGCAAATTTCGACCAAAGTTGTTCCTACCTGTTCCCGTTTTGTGCGGTACTTGAAGAACTTTTCCAGGGTGCCAAGGGGATCCCGGCAAATTTCGACCCGCAAAGTTGTTCCTACCCGTTCCCGTTTTGTGTGTTATTTGCGGGACTTTTGCAGGGCGCCAAGGGGATCCCGGCAAATTTCGACCCGCCAAGTTGTTCCTACCCGTTCCCGTTTTGTGTGGCATTTGCAGGACTTTTTCAGGGTGCCAAGGGGATCCCGGCAAATTTCGACCCGCAAAGTTGTTCCTACCCGTTCCCGTTTTGTGTGTTATTTGCGGGACTTTTGCAGGGCGCCAAGGGGATCCCGGCAAATTTCGACCCGCAAAGTTGTTCCTACCCGTTCCCGTGTTGTGTGGTATTTGCGGGACTTTTGCAGGGTGCCAAGGGGATCCCGGCAAATTTCGACCCGCAAAGTTGTTCCTACCCGTTCCCGTTTCGTGTGGTATTTGCGGGACTTTTGCAGGGTGCCAAGGGGATCCCGGCAAATTTCGACCTACAAAGTTGTTCCTACCCGTTCCCGTTTTGTGTGTTATTTGCGGGACTTTTGCAGGGTGCCAAGGGGATCCCGGCAAATTTCGACCCGCCAAGTTGTTCCTACCCGTTCTCGTTTTGTGTGGTATTTGCGAGACTTTTGCAGGGTGCCAAGGGGATCCCGGCAAATTTCGACCCGCAAATGTTGTTCCTACCCATTCCCGTTTTGCGTGGTATTTGCGGGACTCTTCCATGGTGCCAAGGGGATCCCGGCAAATTTCGACCCGCAAAGTTGTTCCTACCCGTTCCCGTTTTGTGTGGTATTTGCGGGACTTTTGCAGGGTGCCAAGGGGATCCCGGCAAATTTCGACCCGCAAAGTTGTTCCTACCCGTTCCCGTTTTGTGCGGTATTTGCGGGACTTTTGCAGGGTGCCAAGGGGATTCCGGCAAATTTTGACCTTTGGGGGCCCCAGGCCGGCGCGAACCCCCCTTCCTCCCAAACTGGTCTCCCCGGGGACCCCCCAAACTATTCGAACTATTCGAACTATTCGAAACTATTCGAACTATTCGAACCCCCTTGGTTCGAATAGTTCGAAGAGTTCGAATAGTTTGGGGCACCAGCCCTCGCCCCCAAACTATTCGAACTATCCGAACCCCCCTGGTTCGAATAGTTCGAATAGTTTGGGGTACCAGGCCGGGCCCCCAAACTATTCGAACTATTCGAACCCCCCTGGTTCGAATAGTTCGAACAGTTGGTTTGGGGCACCAGGCCGGGCCCCCAAACTATTCGAACTATTCGAACCCCTCTGGTTCGAATAGTTCGAATAGTTTCGAATAGTTTCGAATAGTTCGAATAGTTCGAATAGTTCGAATAGTTCGAATAGTTTGGGGGCCCGGCCTGGGGCCCTCACACTATTCGAACTATTCGAACCCCCCTTTCTCCCAAACTGGTCTCCCCGGGGACGCCCCAAACTATTCGAACTATTCGAACTATTCGAAACTATTCGAACTATTCGAACCCCCCTGGTTCGAATAGTTCGAATAGTTCGAATAGTTTGGGGCACCAGCCCTCGCCCCCAAACTATTCGAACTATTCGAACCCCCCTGGTTCGAATAATTCGAATAGTTCGAATAGTTTGGGGGCCCCAGGCCGGGCCCCCAAACCATTCAAACTATGCGAACCCCCCTTCCTCCCAAACTGGTCTCCCCGGGCAACCCCCAAACTATTCGAACTATTCGAACTATTCGAAACTATTCGAACTATTCGAACCCCCCTGGTTCGAATAGTTCGAATAGTTCGAATAGTTTGGGGCACCAGCCCTCGCCCCCAAACTATTCGAACTATTCGAACCCCCCTGGTTCGAATAGTTCGAATAGTTCGAATAGTTCGAATAGTTTGGGCCTCCAGGCCGGGCCCCCAAACTATTCGAACTATTCGAACCCCCCTGGTTCGAATAGTTCGAATAGTTTCGAATAGTTCGAATAGTTCGAATAGTTTGGGGGCCCCAGTCCGGACCCCAAACCATTCAAACTATTCGAACCCCCATTTGAATGTTCAGAAAAGACGCATGGTCACATAATACAGGAAGGTTCCTCGTACATATATATATATATATGTATATATATATATATATAATGTAATATCAGATTATATAATAAAATGTAAGATAATATAATATCATATAATATTACACATATATATATATACTTCCCCTAAATAAAATACAGGAGCTCGAACTGCTAGCTCCTGGAACAAACAAAAACAGGAGGCAACTCCTGAAACACAACCCGTGGCCTCCTCGGCAGGCCCTTCGATCTCCAAAATCCAGATCCTGCAAGAAGCAGCTGCAGCACATGAAACACTTGCAACCCTTCGGAGTTATGCTGAAGCTGATCCTGCGCTTGCTGCTAAGCATGCGCCACACTGGAAACCTTTTTCCAGGAAGATGCCCTCCATTGCGCGCAGTTGCAAGCTACTGCTCGGGACCCTTTCTTTTCTGACCCCTCTTCTCACCCTCAGCCTCCTTGTCCTCATCCTCCAAGAGCTCCACCACAGGTGCTTGAGATGGATCCACACCGGGCACTGGCATCGGGTGACTCGGCATCCCACCCTGAGCAGCAGCAAGCTGACTCCCCAAGCTGGCCAATAAGGGCATCAGGCCAGCCATCACATCTTGGCTGCGTGTAAAAGACTCTTAAAGCAAAACAAAACAGCCGACTGTGTGTATAAAAAAATTTTATGTGGCAAGCCAGGTACCTCCAGACCCTGCAGCTCCACTGCTCTGCCCTCCCTGAAAGATATTCACCACGATCGACGGGGCTTGGGCTGGTGCCGGCCGGGGCTTGGGCTGGGGCTTGGGCTCCTCTCGCTTTCTCTTGCATAGTCCCATTCCCAAAGCCACTGGGTCCACTCGAACCATAGGAACTTTCGGTTGCTGGAAAGCCCTGGGCAGTGGGATCGAGGGTTGCAAGTCGCCCCCTGGCCACTTCCGCTCATACCGAGCCACCTGAGTTGCTTAAAACAAAACAAAAAATCAGGAGTGCACGAAAATACACTCCTGAAAACAGCTAAGTCACCGTGGTGCTGCTGTACCCTCGCTCCAAGCCCCGAATTCGCCTCATCTGGCCCTTGCTCTTCTTGATCTTCTTCTTGACCGGGGCCTTGTCCTTCTTCTGCTTCTTCTGATATGCTTTTACCCTGGTGAGCATGTGCTTGTACTGCTCTCCCTGGCCAGTCCAGCTCTTGTTGCCCGAAGTGCCTCGCTTCCAATACTCCCAGTTCCTCTTGGTAGCATAGAAGGCGACCTTTGCTGCTTGCTCAAGTTAAATGATCATTTTCAAAAGTTAAAAAATACCCTAGCTGGGAGACCCGAAAACCTCCCGAAAATATTCAATGCAAGCCACACATGTGGGGTTTGCACACCCTCCTTTTCGGAGGTAACTCTTCGTCTCGCAATAGTCGCAATCCCTGAAGGCATGCACATGGGCCCCTGTCTTTGGATCCACCACTGGGTCCTGGGTCTCTGAGCTCTCATCGCCCGACTCATCTTCAGACTCGGGCTCGTCGCCCCTTGAAGGGCCAAATTTGCCCTTGTCGTCCCTTGGAGGGCCTTTGCCCCCGTCGCCCGTAGGAGGGCCTTGATCGACCGATGCCATGGCAGACATCCTATATGTACAGCTCAAACCCTCTAGACAAAGCTCTGGGCTCGAGAGGCATCCACTGCAAAAAAGAACATGCCCCAAAACTGCAAGGCGTCAAAACTGCTGCACAGGAGCTGGCAAGCTACCCGAAAAAAGAGAGGCACACTGCAAAAACGAACATGCACCAAACCTGCTGCAAACGAGACCGGTCCTTCTGCATGGACCGAGCTCCCATGAAGCTGCCAGGAGGGTCACCACCTCGGCACGTTTATGTATATATATATATATATATACATATATATCCATATGTAATATACACATAACATATATATATATATATATAGGGTTTAGGGTTTAGGGGTCTAGGGGTCTAGGGTTTAGGGGTTTAGGGCTTCAGGGGTTTAGTGATTTTTTGGAAGCATGTCGATCTTTGCACTGCAACTACACGTGCAAGAAGGTCGTCACCTACAACACGAAACATGAGCACTTCCATCTTCTGGGCACCTCGCTGGTCCCATGGCATCGCTGTCAAAATGTCTATAGACAGGACACACAGAAATGGTTTCTTTCTGCTCCTGAAAACAGAAAAAAAACAGGAGCTTCTCGGCAAAGAAAAAAACATGCCTCCATGTTGCACAAAGCAGTAAATGGCTGCAGCAATCCCTGTCAAGCTCAAACATGTGCACAGGCAGAGCAAGAAACTTCAGAAAGAAGACTGACTTTGTGGCCACTCTTGCAAATGGGCTAGGTGTGTCTGCTGCCTCTTGTCGAAGGCAACAATCCAGAAGTTGCATGCTTAGCGTGCCGAAATTTTCAATGGAACAACTCGCTTTAGGCCTCGGTGTGCCTAAACAAGGAGTGCTCAGGGCATCTGTGCATAAATCCATGCACGAACATCTGCAGTGCTCTCCTTGTTCCGGAGCTTCTGCAGAGCTTCGTCGCAAATCTTTGAGAGCACATCCTTGGGACACTCGTGCCCCTGGATGCTGAGGATCGCCTTCTTCTGCTCCTTCGCTCCATCTTTCCAGATTGCTCGGAAGCAATAGCTGTTGTTGCTGTTCCTGTACTCCTTTCGAAGTGTCGCCTCCTCTGGCCAGGAGACAGCAGCTTCAGCCTCAGGCTCTGGTGCAGCAGGCTCTGGGCCGGCAGCCTCTGGGCCGGCAGGCTCTGGGCCGGCAGGCTCTGGGCCAACAAGCTTTGTCACAGACTTGGCCACTGCAGGCTTCTTTTGGCTAGCCTTAGCCCCTGCAGGCTTCTTGAGGGCCTTCTTGGGCCCAGCCTGAGATTCCAACTTGGCCACGAGAACCAGATTGGGGATCTCTGTCTGCTTCTCTTCGCCATCCGAAAATTTTGCCACCAAGAAGCCATCCTGGCCCATGCTCATTTGTCCCACCTCTTGGGAATCTCCGGTGATCTTCACTAGGGCAGGCTTGGACATATCCGCGTGGTAAATTACCTGAGGTCTCGTCGAGGCCGAAGGAAGCTGGTACTTGGCTTTGATGCTGCTTGTTGGGCCTGCCGTTGGCACAACACAGCTCGATGCCTCAGTTAAGCGATCTTCGGAGCTCAGCGAAATGTGTGGAGTCAGCTGCCTCTGCACCGGCAGTGTGGATGGGGCGCTCTTACTGCGACTTCGTGACCTCGGAGCAGGGGACTTTGGCTTGGGGCTGACAGGGTCGCTGCCTCTCGAAGCCACACTCTTCCTCGAAGCATGGTCTGCAGACGTCAAGAGTTCTGGCAAACCAAGCTGGTTCCGGATGAAGACACAAAGCTTCTTCACAGAGGGGGTCAGTCGCTCTCCTGTTTTGAGATTTCTGGCACGACTGAATGTCGTTTTGTAGATCTCATTCACTTTGTTTGCAAGTGCAGTGACTTCTTCACCACTGACACCGGGATAGGCCAAGTGAATGGCTCCTTTCAACAACGTTGCTGTGGGCCTGGGGGTTACAGCAAGCACTTCCTCCAGAAACTCCCCGTACTTCTCCACAAAGCTTTCTGTGCTCAGGAGGACATCGTTGCTGTCTACCCCATTAAAATTGCCTCGCACAATCTTAAGCAGGTCTTTGGGCTTGGCTTCGTTGGACCTGCGACTCATGGCTGAAGTGTACAGGCCACCCAGAAAAATTCGTTGCACTCTTGAGCCAACAATACCAAGGAAGCATGCAACAAAATCCAGCAGATATATATATATATATATATACATATGCATATACCATGCTTTGCATGTTTCCGAAACAGGAGTCCGACATGATCAGACACCTGAAATTTGGTTAAAAAAATTAAGCTGCCGTGGAGTCATGAAAACACACACGATATTCAGAACTGGAAGCCTTAAATAAGGTACCAGCTGGAAGCCTTGAATAGGGCTGTTGCGTCACACCTGGCAAGCTTATTTAAGGGATCCCTTAAATAAGAGCAATTGGAGCTTCAGGGAACGCACTCGTCAGGCCCACCCGGCTGAGGGCGCTACATGTTGCTTGTGTTGATTTTGCCGTTGTGGACGGGGAAGGTGGGTGTTTGTTTGTGCGCTTCCCTTGGTTAGTAAGAGCGAGAACGCCAAGGAAGTGCTTTGCGCATTGCGCGGGCCTTTGTCTGCTAGTAAGAGCGAGAACGCAGCAAAGGTTTGTGCTTTCGATGCATCCAGTTCGCGTGCGGTTGCTGTGCTGCTTGCTGTGTGGCTTTACCAGCCTGCATGCGTGAGGGCTGTGCTGCTCACTGTGTGGCTTACACCAGCCCTTAGCCTGTTGATGCGAATAACTGCCCTACACCCAGCAGTAAGCCTGCCTCTCCCGCCCGTGCGTATCAACTCTTTGCAACAGTGGAGTGCGCAATTGCCACGCCCCCTAGCTAGTACGAGCCTTGCCGCCAGGTGCCCGCACATGCACAGGCTCGAGGTGCACAGGCCAGTCCGGGTCAGGCGTGGCTGTAGGTGCCCGCGCATGCACAGGCTCAAGGTGCACAGGCCCTTCCGGAAGGCCCAGAAGTCCTTTGGCCTATCAAACTGTTGCCTAAACCCTCCCGGAAGGCTCAGAAGTGATTAGGCTTCTCAAATTGCTGCCTGAAAATTTCTCCGGAAGGCCCAGCAGAAGGCCCAGAAATGATTAGGTTTCTCAAACTGCTGTCCCAACAGTTGCCTGAAGGCCCAGAAGTGATTAGGCTTCTCAAACTGCTGCCTCAACCTTCCATGGAAGGCTCAGAAGTGATTAGGCCTCTCAAACTGCTGCCTAAAACTTCTCCGGAAGGCCCAGCAGTGTGGCAGTGAGTAGACCTCTCAAACTGCTGCCTAAAACTTCTCCAGAAGGCCCAGAAGTGATTAGGCCCCGCAAACGGCTGCCGGAACCTTCGCCAGAAGGCCCAGAAGGGATGTGAGGAACTATTGCTTCAGCCTTCTCCAGCAGGCCCAGAAGTGATTAGGCCTTGCACTTTGCTGTGGGTCCCGCATCAGGTGTAGTCACGGGGTAAGCCTGCTTGAAGTGCTCTCCACAAAAAATCGGCCGCTGCGCGGGGCTCCGAGTTACAAGGCCCCTTGACTCTCACACTTGACGCGCGGTTGGCTGCAGACCGTTAAGCAGCCTTGGGGGCCTTGAACTGCACCAGGCTAAGCATGCCAGGCCGATAGGCTCCCGGTACCTGGGAAGCACATGAGCCAAGTGCCAGCCAGCAGCCTTTGGGGCTTTTGTGCCGTCTCAAAAATCGGCCGCTGCGCGGGGCTGTAAGAATATGGCCTCTTGCAAGCAGTGCTCCAGGCCCGCCCTATGGCCATGAGGTCGAGCCTCAAAACTTTCCGCGCAAACACAAGGAGCCTCCAAATAGGGTACTCCCCTAATAGCTATGTGAGGACGCCCGGACTCACACAGCGCCGACGGCAGCATTGTGTAGCTTGCAAGAAGAATCCATTGCCTTGCTCTGGATTGCCTAGAAGTCAACATTTTGCAAGCTTGATGCACACTCGCATTTTTTAGGCACAACTTCTTCTCGTTGGGAACGCCCGCTCCCAACCGTAGTTAAGCATTGCGTCAACTGAGCCCTCAGTTGTCCTTTACATTAAACTTTTGTTGGGAACGCCCGTTCCCTTCCGCAAGAACATAGTTTCTTTGGGTTTCTTGCGCGTCTGTGCAGTACGGATAGCTTCGGCGTAAGGTATCTGCACTATGCTGCAAGCGCGAATTAGTTTTACCAAACCTTTAAACTTTGCTGCGCATGGGAAGATAGGAGCATGTTTTTGCCGCAGTCTGAGATCAATGTTTACCTTTTGAACGCCGTGCATCATTCTCGAATGGCCCAAACGCACTCGTCAGGCCCACCCGGCTGAGGGCGCTACATGTTGCTTGTGTTGATTTTGCCGTTGTGGACGGGGAAGGTGGGTGTTTGTTTGTTTGTGCGCTTCCCTTGGTTAGTAAGAGCGAGAACGCCAAGGAAGTGCTTTGCGCATTGCGCGGGCCTTTGTCTGCTAGTAAGAGCGAGAACGCAGCAAAGGTTTGTGCTTTCGATGCATCCAGTTCGCGTGCGGTTGCTGTGCTGCTTACTGTGTGGCTTTACCAGCCTGCGTGCGTGAGGGCTGTGCTGCTCACTGTGTGGCTTACACCAGCCCCCCAGCAGAAAGCCTGCCTCTCCCGCCCGTGCAGGGTATCAACTCAACTCTTTGCAACAGTGGAGTGCGCAATTGCCACGCCCCCTAGCTAGTACGAGCCTTGCCGCCAGGTGCCCGCACATGCACAGGCTCGAGGTGCACAGGCCCGTCCGGGTCAGGCGTGGCTGTAGGTGCCCGCGCATGCACAGGCTCAAGGCGCACAGGCCCTTCCGGAAGGCCCAGAAGTCCTTTGGCCTATCAAACTGTTGCCTAAACCCTCCCGGAAGGCTCAGAAGTGATTAGGCTTCTCAAACTGCTGCCTGAAACTTCTCCGGAAGGCCCAGCAGTGGGTCGGCCTCTCCAACTGCAGCCTAAAAATTTTCCTGAAGGCCCAGCATTGGGTAGACCTCTCAAACTGATGCCTCAAACATCTTCAGAAGGCCCAGAAATGATTAGGCCTCTCAAACTGCTGTCCCAAAGGCCCAGAAGTGATTAGGCTTCTCAAACTGCTGCCTCAACCTTCCATGGAAGGCTCAGAAGTGATTAGGCCTCTCAAACTGCTGCCTAAAACTTCTCCGGAAGGCCCAGCAGTGAGTAGACCTCTCAAACTGCTGCCTAAAACTTCTCCAGAAGGCCCAGAAGTGATTAGGCCCCGCAAACGGCTGCCGGAACCTTCGCCAGAAGGCCCAGAAGGGATGTGAGGAACTATTGCTTCAGCCTTCTCCAGCAGGCCCAGAAGTGACTAGGCCTAGCACTTTGCTGTGGGTCCCGCATCAGGTGTAGTCACGGGGTAAGCCTGCTTGAAGTGCTCTCCGCAAAAAATCGGCCGCTGCGCGGGGCTCCGAGTTACAAGGCCCCTTGACTCTCACACTTGACGCGCGGTTGGCTGCAGACCGTTAAGCAGCCTTGGGGGCCTTGAACTGCACCAGGTTAAGCATGCCAAGCCGATAGGCTCCCGGTACCTGGGAAGCACATGAGCCAAGTGCCTGCCAGCAGCCTTTGGGGCTCTTGTGCCGTCTCAAAAATCGGCCGCTGCGCGGGGCTGTAAGAATATGGCCTCTTGCAAGCAGCGCTCAAGGCCCGCCCTATGGCCATGAGGTCGCAAAACTTTCGGCGCAAACACAAGGAGCCTCCAAATAGGGTACTCCCCTAATAGCTATGTGCGGACGCCCGGACTCACACGCTGTGTAGCCACACCAGCCCCTTGCCTGCCCCCGCTCGCCGGGGGGGGAGGGGGCGCCTTTTCTTGCACTCTGTTTGCATTGTGCCTTTGTGCGCGTTCGTACCTTTCTTTCAGTGTGCTTGAAATTTTCTTGCCAGCCCAAAAGGGAGTCCTGAGTGCTATTGCTACGGCCCTGGCGCTTGTGTGGGGACTGTCTCTACGGACGCGTTGAGCAGTTTAGGTGACGGAGGTTCCTTGCCTTACGGCCTACCCATACTTTCGCTTAATGTCTGTACTAGACGTGGCGCAGCATTGCTATGGGTGACGGGCAGCTGAGTGATTGGTGAAGGTAGGTTCTTGTTTGCGTTGGTCTCACCTCGCTGGCCTTGCGTTAAGTTGTCTTGCAATAAGGGCCTCTGCGCTAGCGGTTGCTTCTTTGTAGTCACGACTTCTTTTTCACTCGCTGGCTTGTACAGGTTGGCTCTCAAAGTAGTTGTCCTTGTCTCACACCTAGTCGAGCCCAACAAGACCGGCCTACTGCGCTACTGATGTAGTAAAGAGGCGTCAGTCCAAAAAAACACATCAGCGGTCCAGTGGGCAGGTCTTGGCAACGGAAGGACATCTACTTTGAAAAGCCAAACTGTGCAAGCCAGCAAGTGTTAAAGAAGTTGTAACTGCAAACAAGCAACCGCTAGCGCAAAGGACCTTATTGCAAGACAACTTAACGCAAGGCCAGCAAGGTAAGACCAATGCAAACAAGAACCTGCCGGCACCAATCACTTAGCTTCCCGTTACCCATAGCAATGCAGCGTGGAAAAAGAGCAGTGGGCCCTTCCCCTGCGCAGCTGGAGCAATGGAGAACAACGTGGCAGCGGCATCGGCATCGCGTGCCTCCCACCAAGGCAACAACCAAAACGCTTGGCAGTAATGCTGCAGAAACTGGAAGAAGGACCTGGGCAAGGGAAAAGACCGGATTAGCATGGAAGGTGGTTTTGATCTGGCAAATAGTTTGCACTTTGCGAACCGCGCTCTGTGCTCTTTTAAAACAGCACGAATTCTGCTACTACTGGTCTACCATAACCTCTTCGTGTTCTGAGAGAGGGCCGTTTCACCGTAGAATTCGATTGTGGTTGCTTTGTTTGGTTTGCTTTGTTGCTCCTCCAAGTAGCTTGATCGTCTTGTCGCAATAGACCGGCCCACTGTGCTGCTGATGTGGTAAAGGGGCGTCTGCTTTAAAAAAAGAGGAACCGGACAAACTCCAAATGGTATGAGCGCATGCTTGACCTCAAGCGCGTGTGAAGAGAGCGCAACTTGATGCTGAAACGTATGTTGGGAGCTTCTGGTGATAGTCGAAGCTTTCGTGTTATTCCTGGCTGATGTGCATGCTTTTGTGAAGGTTTTGCCCGCCATTGCTACATTGCGGGATCATAAAGTAGTTTGGTGTGGCCACCCTTGAAAAACCTTAGACGCTGCTAGAGATGCAGTCCTTAAAGAGTTTTTTGCTTGTTGGTTTGCTCAAGAGTTGATGGTGCACCAGACATGTGGCAGGTCCTGGCCGCCCGAATCAATCCACGCATGGGGCATCTTTGTGTTTGCAGGTTTGGCAGGTGATTCGTTGGGCTGTTGATCCGGGCTTGCGTTGTTCCTTGGGATGTTCCCCCTTATACTAACAGTCCTAAATTGGGATTAGAATAGGGGGTACTATACTCGCCATTCAGGACTGTTAGTATAAGGGGGAACATCCCAAGTTGTTCCTTTTTGAAGTGCTGGTGTATACTTGAACAGTCAGGTGCTTACTCCCAGGTTGCTCCTCTACAGGCATTGCAACTACTATAGGGGTCGGATTAATTACTAATGGTATTCCCTTAGGGTCCCTTTGTAATTGTACTATAGTAACCCCCAAAACCCTGTTTTAATTATTAAGTCCCCCATACTACATGGATGTACAGTCTTGCGCCCATCTACGACTCGTCGGATAAGGAGGTGACGATGATGAGGCCACTTGTATCTGCAGAATAGATCGATAATGATATCTGCAGCACATGTGCCATTGGATGATGCAAGATGATGTCCGACACGCATGTTCACGCGGCACGCAGCATGGCTTCTGACCCTGTTGCTCTATGGCACATTTTGTCTCAAGCTAGGCACATTTGCAACTTTTCGTCCTTTGACAAAATCATGCTTGTGTATTTGTCGGCCTGGCTTCTCTTTCACCATTGGGTTGCTGTGGCCGGGTCCCGGTTGCTGTCATCTGTTGGCAATGTGGGCTCGCATAATATGTTCGGACCAGATGGACCTAAGTTCAGCGACGTGAGCCAGGGAATGCTTGGTGATTGCTTCTGGCTCGCCGCAATCGCGTCTGTTGCCCATCATCAGCCGCACTTGATCCAGGACATGGTGGAAGTCTCCCTGAAAGAGCAGGAGGCCTATCCTGTGCATGTTGTGCGGTTCATGCTTGCTGGAAAGACGTTCCCCGTCGCTGTAGATGAGATGATGCCAGTGTGGGAAGGCACCATGATGCCGAAGTATGCAACACTTCGCAAAGATCAGCACTCGTGGCCCTTGATCTTCGAGAAGGCGTTTGCCAAGCTATTTGGCAGCTTCAGGTCCATAGCGAGTGGACAGGGCAGCGAAGCTTTCAAAGCCATTGTCCAAGCACCCGTTGACTACGTCGCGCACGCAAACAACTTTCTTGTCAACCATGACAAAGTGTCTTAGTAGTAGAGTAGGTAACCTTTCACCTTTTTGGGCAATATAACCCCCTTCACCCCAAACCCCTACGTCTACACCCTAAACCCTAAACCCTAAACCTTAAACCTTAAACCTTAAACCTTAAACCCTAAACCCTAAACCCTAAGGACAACTAAGGTGTGGGACGAGCTGCTTGAGGCAGCCCAGCAAGGACACCCTATGGTGGCCTCCAGCCAGGCGGATACACATGGCATCGCGGATCATCATGCTTCTGGGTTTAGGGTTTAGGGTAGGGTTTAGGGCTTAGGGTTTAGGGTTTAGGATTTATGGTTTAGTGTTTCGGGATAGTTTTTAATTTCCCCTTCTTTCCTTATAAGGGAACCAAGTCAAAAAGAATGTTCAAAGGGTTTAAAGCACAACCCAGGCTTATGCAGTCTTGAATGTCTCAACGATGGAGGTGAACGGGAAGCAGGAAAGGACAATTCGTCTCTTCAACCCATGGCATCACAGCACGTACCGTGGCAAGGTTCCGAATCCAGGTGCGGCCGCCACGGGAGACTTCCGCATGTTGTTGGAGGAGTATGTTGAGTCCTTCAGCCACACGGCGGTTGCCAAGGTGAAGCCGGGCTATGTGATGTCCTACACAATCCTTTCAAAGGGTACTGACAGGCTGCTAAAGCGAGTCCAGTTTGAGGCTACCAACAGCAAGCCCTTCTCCGTGCAACTGGCGTGGCCAGACAGGCGCATCTCGAGGCGCGGCAACTGCGACGTGTTGGATCCGAGGGCGTTCCTACAGATCACGACACCCGAAGGCATGAGCCTTAGGAGCAGTCATTCCGACCCAATGCGCCGAGCTCTGGAGATGTCAAATGTACGTGTCGATCTCCCTGGGTCTATGGGACCATACTTCGCAGACATCGAGATCCACTTTCCGCAAGGAGAATGGGTGGACGAAGTGGTGTTGAACGCGTATGCGAGCGAGGAGATGAAGATTGTGGACGCGGCGAGCTGGCCAGATGACGTGAAATTTGGCAACTGGATGAGTACACGTTACACTTCTTGGGATACTATAATCCCCCTGTAGAAATGAAAATGTACTTTCTTTTTGGGGCTTAATTATGAACTCAGCAACTAAGGAAGTGGGTGGAGTTGGGAGGGTTTGAAAATCGAAAGGTGAATGGTATCTACGAAGAGCGGCACAGCTTTGAATTCCTTGCTCAAGCGAGGGAGACGTATTGGCACAGGGACTACTGGCTTATGATGCCTGTATATGTGGACAGCACTTTTCTCTATTGGTGTGAGGCTGATCGCCGCTGGCAGGTCGCCGAAGCAGGTCAGCTGGAGGAAGTGCGACAGGGAGGCTGCCCAGCCCTTGCAAAAGCCCTGCCCGGGGACGACGTGCTGTCACCAGACTTGCCCAAGAACTTCCAAGTGCCTGTGGATAAGCTGTGGATGAAGGTCACGTCTGCTGGAGTTGTGCGCAACAGCAATTCTCAATTCACGGCCAACAGCCTCATAGAGGAGCGCGCTGCGGGGTCGTGTAGAGAGGTCCTCGATCGAATGCAAACATTGAACAATGCAGATGACATCGCAGCCAAGCGCTTTGACGAGCTCTTCCCACCTGACTATTCATCCATTGCCAAGCCGGGTGAGAGGTGCGGAGACAAGGCTCGACAGCAGGATGAAGACTGCAGAAAGATGAGCGAGTGGGCTGCACTTTCAGACATCGTGGCGTTTGCTGCGGCCGCATAGGCGTCGACCACCCCTCAGCTCCCAAGAGTGCGGACCAGCGCAGCTCCCCAGTGTGCTTGGGTCTGCTTTAGGTCAACAGGATCTTGCATAGAGCGTTGACGTACATTGCAGCGGAAAAGCAAGAATGAGAGAGGGCTTCGAAACACATGCGTTAATACAGATGATGGGCGTCGTAAGACCGGTGCTCCTATGCCAGGCTCCAGCCAACGATGACTCGATCCCACATGAGAGTCACTGTCTCTCCTCGAGAAGGGATTCCTGAGATGTGTTCCGACTTTAGGGTTTGCTGCAGGGTTTCGGGTTTTGACCTCGTTACCGTCACCTTGCATAAGGGTTTTAGGGTTTAGGGTTTAGGGTTTTGACCTCGTTGCAGTAAACTTGCATTGGAAGAAAATGTGGCCCAGCCATGATCGCCTTTGTGTCGCTGGTGAACCACATAAGGTCGCTTCCGAAATTCGGGGCACCTTTTAGTCAGAGGGGGCCTTGCCTATTTCGGCTATGATACCACCCACCCTACCACCCCCCCCACCCAGATGCCTGAACCCACTCTAACCCCATCTCCAGACCCAGATGCCTGAAACCCACTCTCCAGAACCGCACTCCCCAGACCCAAATGCCTGAAAACCCAACCCACCACCCCATTGCCTGAAACCCCTAAACCCTAAACCCTAAACCTTAAACCCTAAACCCTAAACCCTAAACCCTAAACCCACTCTTCAGACCCACCACACCACCCCATTGCCTGAAACACCCAATCTCCAGATGTAACCCAAGATCCAACCCAAGCTACACTCCTCACACCCCAGCAACAGCAACCTATCTAGGTGTCATTGGTCAAAACGGGGGGGTTCGAAGCAGGTTCCGTTGGCGCGCCCAGAGCAGAGAACAGGCTCAAGCAGCTATGGTTATACCCAGAAAGGTTGCTCCCGTCAGCCAGGCGGAACCGTATGTGCGACCGGAATGTGATGGTGGTCTGCAGTCTCATGGTGATGGTGTTCTGCAGTCTCATGGTCCTCTATGGCCTTCTCCAGATCGTGACCGCGCTCAGTTAACGCCGTCGTTGGTGCCTTGCAACTTCCTCGGATTGTTAGCACTTTGTGTTTTGGTTCTTGCACACCCCAAGTAGCACACAATCCGAAGACTCAAGGCACTAGACCCGTAAATGTTGGAGCCAAGCGTCTGTTCAGGACGTACCACGCATCGGCAATCAGTGGGATGTCCGGGCTCTCTGCTTTCTTTGGCGGAGGGGTTGGCGGATTCATTGGTGGCTGGATGAAGGTCAATCTGATAGAGCTCAGCGATGTGCGTTTAGCGTTTATGTTTTTTTTTGCTCTCTCTCTCTCTCTCTCTTTCCCTCTCTCTCTCTCTTTTCTTGCTGGTTCGCGACCGTATCTTTCGCATGTCTGTTCCTTGCAGGCGCTGGTGGCGATGATCCTGACAGTGAAGGTTGTGAGAGCTTTCGTCGAGTAGCCAGAAGCTCCAAAAGCACGGCAATTCGATGCGAGGGAAAAATGGGAAGATGATGCACAACTGAGCTGGCTGGCGACGTGGTGCCGTGTGCCTCAAAATCCTAACTTAAATCCCGAACACCTGAGCAGGCCCTGAGTGGGCATGAGTTTTCCTCTTCCTTGTGGCTGTAGCACCACCCACCCCTAAATATTTATCTTAAGAAACTATTTTATTCCCAATACCCGTATCTACCTAGGTGCCATACGCCTAAATAGGCAAGGGGGTTCCTTGTAGGATTTGGTTCAGGGTTTAGGGTTAAGGGCTGACCATGCCGCCATGCGCGGAATTGTGACTGGGTTTAGGGTTTAGGGTTTAGGGGGTTGCCGCCATGCGAGGAATTGTGACTTAGGGACTGGGTAGGTCGCCTTTAACCTTTTTGTTATACAAAAGAACCTTGTTATAAATACACAAGCAAATGAATAAATACAGGTTAACCTTCTTTGGGCTGAGTATTCAGCCCCTGAGGTGACGACGGGCGGGGCAACTATGCGAAGATCTTGTTCGACAGCGCCACTTTGGCGACCAAGATCTGTGATTTGCCCACGGCCATTGAGTTCTACGGGGATCCTGAGAGCCGTGAAGCAGAAGATGCGGGAAGCTGCCACGAAAGAGAGCTTCGCCGAGCGACTGCAAGGTTGCCTGGTGACATGTTGCAGTGAACACGGCCGAAGAGTAGAGGAGCTAGATGTTAAGTACAGGGTGCAGGTACCTGGATCAAATTTGAGGATTCTTTCTACTTTTTTGTGGCATGGTTACCTTGTGTGTTTGGACAAAGAAGCGCTCCTGTTGTTCCCCTAAACCCTAAACCCTAAACCCTAAACCCTAAACCCTAAACCCGAAACCCGAAACCCGAAACCCTAAACCCTAAACCCTAAACCCTAAACCCTAAGCGCAGGCACAGCTTTCATCATATTTCTGCGGGTCCAAATATGACCTGACAACGCCCTACGTCCGAACCACGCGTCAGCTCGCGGTTGCCCGTGTGAGAATCCTTGAGCCGTCCGGCTGCGTTAGGGTTTAGGGTTTAGGGTTTAGGCTTTAGGGTTTAGGGTTTACGAATTCACAGCGTTGTGTGGAGCGAAGGCCCCATAGACCTGCAGTGCCGCTGGGACAAGTTGCTCAGGACGATGGCAGACGTCTACGAAGACTCTGGTCACTGTGGCCAGCAAGCTGTGACTAGAAGCCCAATGGCACCCTTTCGTTTGTTGGAACTGCCGTCCGCGTAAACCCAACCCACACCAAAAAGGATGCGCTTAGGATGGTATGGGCTACCTACATAAGCAAGCTTCGTAGGGCGTATGAGCGCAGCCATAATCTTCGACTACGCCACCTGCAGCACTGGGAGCTGGCCCACATGGCCAAGCAAGACAAGCAGAGAAAGAAGCGAAGGCGAAGGACCTCCGCGGAAATCGGGGACATGAATCTGGCACGACTGAGCAACTTGCTCCAGAAATGGAGCCGGCTGCTGCAAAAGCATGCTGCTTCTGCGAAGCGGAAGATCAAGCAGGAAGCCCACGGTAGCATGGAACAAAGCTCGCGATGCAAGACGAGCTCGTGAGATGGAAGTACTTTTCACTTCAAGACGAGGCGAACCCCCTCGCCAGAATCTCAGGACCCACCTTCTTCGGGACCTTATAGTTAAGGGTTACTCCCATTGTTTTGTGTTTCTCTTTGTTTGCGAACAGAGTACATGACGGAGCCTTCTTGACAGAGTCTAACTGTCCTCAAGTTGAGAAGACATTTTTGTTCAGGCCGTACTTGGAGGAAGCCGAGGTTGACTTAGTAAGTCCAGTTCGTATCCCCGAGAAACTCTATGACTCTATTAGAATCCCCATAACCCACCTTACTATCCCTAAACCCTAAACCCTAAACCCTAAAACCTAAATCCTAAAACCTAAACCCTAAACCCCGCTTCCTAAGTCAAAAGGGCTTTCAAGTATTGCATCTGGACCCGAGAGAGGCAGTGTTCATGTGATTGTAAGGGTTTTCGGTTCCCGGAAGCCCTGAAGCCCTCACTTGAATCCTAAACCCGAAACCCTAAACCCTAAACCCCAAACCCTAAACCCTAAACCCCAAACCCTAAACCCTAAACCCTAAACCCTAACCAAGTGGGAGTTGAGGAGTTTCGGGAAAATCGCTGGAGTCTTGAGAGACTACCGCCGCAGGGGCAAGATGAATGGGGGCAGGAAGATTGTACATGGACGTTGGGGTTTAGGGCTTAGGGTTTAGGGTTCAGGGTTCAGGGTTCAGGGTTTAGGGTTTAGTGTTTTGATGCAGGCGCTCGTCATGCCACGAGTATGAAACCTTCGAAACATGTCGCTGCTCAGCTTGGCCGTCAGCTCTTCCTGTGTACAGCTTCCGGGCATCACGATGGCAGCCTACGAGGACACCAAGGGTTTAGGGTTTAGGGTTTAGGGCAGCCCTAAACCCCCCCGCAGCCTTGCAGCTCCAAACGATCAGCTGCAAATTCTGAAGACCGAAGCCATAAACACCCGTCCCGATTCTAGAGCATGCTGTTAAGCCTCCGGTAGGTCAAACCTCTGAACTCGATGCCCCGAGAGCACGAAAGCTCTGAGACCTTTAAGCCTTTAAACCTGAAAACTCTAAAGCCTTCAAAACCCCTAAGCCCTAAACCCTAAACCCTAAACCCTAAACCCTAAACCCTAAACCCTAAACCCTAAGCCCTAAGCCCTAAACCTTAGCCCTGAAACCTTAAAAGCCTCAAATCCCAACCCACAAACCCCAAAACTCCACAACCTCCCCTGAACCCCAAAGCCCTAAAGCCCTAAAACCCTAAACCCTAAACCCTAAACCCCTGAACCTCTGAAACCCTACACCCCAGAACCCTGAATACCCTAAACCCTAAACCCCTGAACCCCTAACCCTAAACCCTAAACCCCCAAACCCCAAACCCTAAACCCCAAACCCCCAAAACCCAAAGCCCAAAACCCTAAACCCGGAAAACCCTAAACCCTAAACCCTAAACCCTAAACCCTAAACCCGAAACCCGAAACCCGAAACCCTAATCCCTAAACCCTAAACCCTATGTCCTCCAGGAGCCCAAGCGCGATGGGCGCATCGTGAACGGCCTCCCTTATGCACTTGCGGGGTCTCCAGGGGCGGAGGGGTCGGGTTTAGGGTTTAGGGTTGGGTTTAGGGTTCAGGGTTTAGGGTTTAGGGATTAGGGTTCAGGGTTTAGGGTTTTGGGGTTTAGGGTTTAGGGGTTAGGGTTCTGACCAATGAACGGGGTCGGTGATTGCCCGGTCCAAACTACAACCGCCCGAAGCCCCAAACCCCCAAAACTAAGTGTCATGAATCCAGCTCAGACCAGAAAAGCACACCCTAAGCTCGAAAAGACTACACACCAAACCCTAAACACCGCACTTTGCGCGGTTTGCCCTTGAACATGGGGATTTTCGAAAATAGGGACAAATATGGTCCCCCAAGTAGTAGGACTCCAAATAAGGACCCCCACAAGGTACCCCGAGTTCGGAAATCCGATATGTTTGCAGCTCAGCATGTTGGCAGTTCTCTAAATGAGGCTCCCTTTTGTGGTGTCCCCCTATATAGTGCGGCACCCTTAAGAAACAGGACTCCCCAAAAAGGGCACTTTTGTTTTTGTTGAGAGAACTGCCCATGTCCCAGCTAGCTGGTTCTTAGTAGGGAATGAGGGAATGAGGAACCCTCTATAATCCCTTAATTCCTTAAGGGGTATATATATATATATACATTTCTGTATCGGGCCCTAATTTCCCTCATTCCCTGCGAAGAACCAGCTAGCCAGGTAAGATCGACCTGTCCACGTCGCTGTGGGAGACAAGCAAGGGCCTCGGAGCGAACGGGGGTTTAGGGTTTAGGGTTTAGGGTTTAGGGTTGGGGGCCCGAGGTTTCAAAGCCAGAAGCCCGGAAGCGGCCGGAGCCGAGGGCTGAAGGGGTTTAGGGTTTAGGGTTTGGGGTATAGGGGTTTAGGGTTTAGGGTTTAGGGTTTAGGGTTTAGGGTTTAGGGTTTGGGGTTTAGGGTTTTGGGGAACTGAAGGGGTAAGGGCTTGGGAGACCAGCTCTGGGGGCACTGCGGGGGACTGGCCTGGCCTCGATGTCCCCATGCCTTGATTCAAGCCCGGGACGTGGCGCTGACCCTAAACCGTAAACTTAAACCCTAAACCCTAAACCCTAAAGCCCAAACCCTACAGTAAACTTTAAACCCTAAACCCTAAACCCTAAACCCTAAACCCTAAACCCTAAACCCTAAACCCTAAACCCTAAACCCTAAAAACCCTAAACCCTAAACCCTAAACCCTAAACCCTAAACCCTAAACCCTAAACCCTAAACCCTAAACCCTAAACCCTAAACCCTAAACCCTAAACCCTAAACCCTAAACCCTAAACCCTAAACCCTAAACCCTAACCCTAAACCCTAAACCCTAGACCTAGACCCCCTAAGGGTCCCTCCTTTCGTCCCTGAATTGCAGGTCTGGAGATGCCACCGCGCCAAGATGCGGAAGAGGCGCGCAGGGACGGGATCTGACCCACAGTAGAATTTAGGTCTTTTGACCCTAAACCCTAAACCCGAAACCCTAAACCCTAAATCCTAAACCCTAAACCCTAAACCCTAAACCCAAAACCCTAAACCCTAAACCCTAAACCCTAAACCTTGTAGGACTTAGGCGCCAGAGGTCACGGACGCGTTGGCGAGAGCAACGTCCGGGGTCCGGGTTCTATGAGGGTTTTCGTGGCGAGGCTTGAGGGCGTCGGGCTTCAGAGGTGAGTGTGTTTAGGGTTCAGGGTTCAGGGTTTAGGGTTTAGGGTTTGGTGTTTAGGATTTAGGGTTTAGGGTTTAGGTTTTCGGGTTTAGGGTTTAGGGTTGACTCACGAAACCCCGAAAGTCCAGATTCCAAAATGCGATGTGAAAGGCCTTCGTTTCGTTTTACAGAGAGCAGTAATGGCTCCCTTGGGAGAACACAGGAACCCCTCAACCCTAAACCCTAGACCCTTGACCCTAAGGAACCTATAAAGGTTTGGTAGCTATATGAAGTAGGGTTTATAGTTCTTGTATCCCCAAAAGGACACCCAATATATACACTCACCAACATGAACAAGGAACCTTATGTACACTCACCAAAAACAGTGATATAAGCCCTGCTTCATGTGGGCCCTTAACGTGTTCCCTTGTCTTGGTAAAAGTGTTCTGATGTATGGGCCCCTGGCTTTTGGAGGGTATATACGGGGTTTAGAAGGGACCATTCTAAGAGCCCATACCAAGAACTACCCTAAACCCCAAAACCCTAAACCCGAAACCCTAAACCCTAAACCCGAACCCGAAACCCTAAGCCCTCCCCTCCCATTCCCTGTCAGCACTTGTCCATAGGAACTTAAAACAAGCTGCTCGAAGCCGTAGGCGAGGGGCAGTAGAGGATAACAGGACCCAACGTACCCAACCCTCAACCCTAAGCAGTAGGCATTAACCCTAAACACTGAAACCCTAACACCCGAACACCCAAACCCTAACCCTAAACCCTAAACCCCCCTAAACCCTAAACCCTAAGCCCTCACAGCCTAAACCCTGAACCCTAAAACGCCTGTCCCCCCGTTCTCCCAGAAGCCCAAGCAATCAGGTGGACCCGCGCGACGCGAACACGCCGGACAAGTGGATCAAGAGGCCTTTGCCACGCCAAGCCCCGAAGGGTTTAGGGTTTAGGGTTTGGGGTTTAGGGTTTGGGGTTCCGGGCCGGGGGGGTGTAGGTTGATGGAAGGGTTTGGGTTTAGGGCTTAGGGTTCAGGGCCCCCCCCCCACCTTAACACCGCCTCAGCCCTGAACCCGCAACCTCAGCTCTGAATCCAGACATTTCACAGACTTACCGCGGGGGTTTCTGAGAATTCGGGGTCTACTTTTGGGAAGCCGCCACTACTGAGGCTCGCTTCGATGCACTCCGTTTACCCTAAACCCTTAACCCTAAACCCCAAACCCTAAACCCTAAACCCTAAATCCTAAACCCCTAACCCTAAACCCTAAACCCTAAGCCCTAAACCCTAAACCCTAAACTCCCAAGACCCTGAAGCCTCGATCCCTCGAAGTTCTCCAGACAAATCGGCTCCATCTTAGGGTTGTAGGCCCTCCCGCCCGCGGGCTTAGGGTTTAGGGTTTTCAAAGCCCTAAACCCAAAACCCTAAACCCTAAACCCTAAACCCTAAACCCTAAACCCTAAACCTGCAGGCACCCAGCCATGCTCCGAAACACGGGCATGCACCCTTTCAACTCGGAGCCGCCCCTGAAGAACCTCCAGGAGTGCCTTCTGTTTGAGGTTTCAAGGTGTTTAGGGTTTGGGGTTTAGGGTTTTCTGGGGTTTAGGTTAAGGTTTCTGGGGTTTCTGGGGTTTCTGGGGTTTCTGGGGTTTCTGGGGTTTCTGGGGTGTCTGGGGTTTCTGGGGTTTCTGGGGTTTCTGGGGTTTCTGGGGTTTCTGGGGTTTCTGGGGTTTCTGGGGTTTCTGGGGTTTAGTTCTTTGTAGGTCATGAGGGAATTAGGTACCTCATAGTCATATCCGCTGAAATGTCCCCTCTAAGAGATTCCTGCCAAGAGATTCTATGGGGGGATACAAGGTACCTACTGCCGTCATTCCCTACTCGGGCTTGTGGGGTTTGGGTTTAGGTTTTAGGGTTTGGGTTTTAGGGTTTGGGGTTTAGGGTTTCGGGTTTAGGGTTTGGGGTTTAGGGTTTCGGGTTTAGGGTTTGGGGTTTAGGGTGTAGGGTTTGGGGTTTAGGGTTTAGGGCTTTTTCCATCTTTTGGGTTTGCTGTAGAGGCGAGGTTGGGTCTGAACCCCAGACCCTCTGAACCCTTTTTCGGGCCCTCAAGGGGGCCCCTTTCTTGAAAACTCGAAAGCACCCAAAGCTGGAACCCCTTAACCATGAACCGCCCGTTGTAACCCTTTATAAGGCTTTATGACCCTCTATCATACCTCCGTATGGCCCTTTACTAAGCCCCTAAACGTCTTTTGTAACCCTGGGCCCTTAAACGCCTGAAGCCCTGAACGAGCGCAGCTTGGCCCCCCTGGTTCAGAGTTTTTGGAGTTTGGGGTTTCCGAGTACGACAAGGGTACCACTTGTCTAGGAAGTGTCCAGATCGCTTCCTGCCCAGGCTCATAGGGGTTTACGGATTGAGCTTAGGATTCCAAGGTTGGGGTGGTTAGGCGATTCAGGGTTCTAGGAGACTTGCAACAACAACAGCAAGATTCCGACAATCTGCAACTCCTTGCCCGGTTGTATCAGGCTTTCTGTTTCGTGCTTTTGGGGTTGTCCCTAAACCCTAAACCCTAAACCCTGAACCCTGAACCCTAAACCCTAAACCCTAAACCCTAAACCCGAAACCCTAAACCCTAAACCCTAAACCCCTAAACCCTGAACCCTAAACCCTGAACCCAAAACCCTAAACCCTAACCCTGAACCATAAATCCCTAAATCCTAAACCGTGGGTGGAGAGCTAAGTCGGAGGACGCCGGCTGGATCACACCGCCTGCGCTCTGCGTGGTTCGTGGCGGGTTGGCACCGATCCTTTGGGCCCTGAAGCCTAAACTCTAAGCCCTAAACCCTAACCCCTAGACTCTAAACCCTAAACCCTAAACCTTAAATTCTAATTAACCTACCCCTGAAACCTGACGACCAAATCCTAATCCCCAACAACATGGGAGTTGGGGAGTGTCCTCGTGTTGTAAGAGACTAAATTCAAGGAATTGTCCTTAGCTTTTCATAAGGAGCCCAATTTGACTCACATTCCTTAGTTGAGGGTTATGACGGTTTCTGAGGGTTTAGGGTTTAGGGTTTGAATCCACTTTGGGACTTGTAAGCCCTGAGCCCTAAGCCCCAAACCCTAAACCCTTAACCGTACGCCCTGCACTCACCTACGGGTCTGACTAGGCTGGGGTACGTAAAGGATGCAGGGCCCAGCATCCCTGAACACAGGCATGCTTTATTTAGTGTTTCGGGTTTAGGGTTTAGGGGCACGTCATTATTAAAAAAGAGCTCCCTTCATAGAGTTGAAGATCCATTTTCCTGACTTTAAGGGTATTGGGCCCCCCCATCATTTCCTAACTCCCTAAACCCCTGCAAACACTTAACAACCCCTTTAAAACCACATCAAAACCCTTCAAAAGCCCTTAAGCCCCTCAATCCTTAAACGCTTAAGTAACCTTTGCCGTAAGCCTCAAACTCTCAAGGCCTCAAGCCCTGAAACCCGCAATCCCTCAAACCCACAAGCCCTCAAACCCTCAAACCCTCAAGCCCCTAAACCCCTACCCCTAAACCCTAAAGCCTCAAACCCTCAAACCCTAAACCCCAAACCCCTAAACCCCTAAACCCCTAAACCCTAAACCCTAAACCCTAAACCCTCAACCCTAAACCCTAAACCCTAAACCCTAAACGCTAAACCCTAAACCCTCAACCCTAAACCCTAAACCCTAAACCCTAAACCCTAAACCCTAAACCCTAAACCCTAAACCCTAAACCCTAAACCCTAAACCCTAAACCCTAAACCCTAAACCCTAAACCCTAAACCCTAAACCCTAAACCCCACAAAGCCACAAACCTGAGGCAACCACGGTGCGGTGCCACAGCTGTCTTGGGCGGAGCACCGGCTGAAGATCACAGGCGGCTCGGAAGCCCCCAACTAGGGCTTGGGGTTTAGGGTTTAGGGTTTAGGGTTTAGGGTTTAGGGCTCAGAAGCCCTCAACCCTCAGCCGGCTTAGGGTTTAGGGCTTAGGGTTTGGTGTTTTAGGGTTTTCGGGTTTGGGGCTTAGGGTTTGGGGTTTTAGGGTGGAGGGTGTTTAGGGTTGTGGGTTTTGGGGTTTTAGGGTTTAGTGTTCAGGGTTTAGGTACACCCGCAATGCTTTCCACCCACGTGGCCCTTTGTCCAGGCTGGCAACCATGACATCCCAACTGGGTTTTTTGGGAGGGCTTAAGACACTGATCCCTTTTGCAAGGGGCTCGGGCTCCACCTTGAGCCGAGTACTCGGGTCCCTAAACCCTAAACCCTAAACCCTAAACCCTAAACCCTAAACCCTAAACCCTAAACCCTAAACCCTAAACCCTAAACCCTAAACCCTAAACCCTAAACCCTTTGAGGGTTTAGGGCTTTGGGCTTCAGGAGGTGCCTGAAAACCCACTGAGCCCTAACGCCGGCTAAGCCCCTAAACCCTGAAGGTTTAGGTTTACAGTTAACCCCAAACCCTGAACCCCAACCCTGAAACCCTGAAACACTAAGGGCTACTTCGGCATATAGGAACAATATGAGGTATACATAGGGTTATATTTGGGGAAGAAGATTAACAGGGGTCCCTCCTTATACCCCTTGACCCTCCGAATCCCCGAAAACCCTCAGAGCGTGCCCAAGCCCTACACCCTAAACCCTAAATCCTAAACCCTAAACCCTAAACCCTAAACCCTCAACCCTCAGAGGCGTGCCCAAGCCCTGCGAGCTGAGCATGGAACAGCTTTCTTCCGGTGACTGGGGCAACGTAGTGCCACCCCGCTGCACGCTTTTTCGGGCTCCGAGTGGTTTCCTCTAAGTCCTAAAATCCTAAGCCCTTTAACCCCAAGACCTTAAGACCCTGTTTCCCTAAAAGCCGTTAAGCCCTAAAACTCTAGAACCCGAAAACCCTGCACCTGTGTCTAGGGTTTGGGGTACTGGTCGGGGTTAATTATCATGGTAGTTTTTGTAAGGGTATATACTTTCCCTTGCTGTGGCGTTTCTGGTTGGTCAAATTTCCGTGGGAACTTCTGAATCCCGTGCTTGAGAGCACTCTCTCTCCCTCTCTCTCTCTCTCTCTCTCTCTCTCTCTCTCTCTCTTTTTGCGCTGAAGCAGCCTAGACCTTTCTACCAACCCCTAAGCCCTTAAGAGCCTAACCTAAACCCTAAGCCCCTGAACCCTAAATCCCAAACCCTCTAACCCTAAACGCCTAACAAAACTCGACCCTTCACCCCAAAACCTCTAAACCCTGAACCCCTCAGCCCCTAGACCCTCAACCCCGAACCCTGAAACCCTAAACCCCGAAACCCTAAACCCTAAACCCCAAACCCCTAAAACCCTCTAAGGTCTTTTCCTGTGACCTACATCTGCGCTGGAAACAGGCGCAAGGACCCCGCAACTTCCTGGCGGCTGACTCTGGGGTTGAGGGGTTCAGGGTTTAGGGTTTAGGGTTTGGGGTTCAAGGTTTAGGGTTTAGGGTTCGTTTTGGTTTTAGGTTTCAGGGTGTAGTGGTTAGGGCCTCAAAGCGCCATGCAGTCTCAGCCCTAAAGTCGAAGTCAACGTCCTGAAGCCCATGCCTCAGCGCAATCCCCTCCCCTGACTGCAGTTCAGGGTTCAGGGTTGGTTATATTGGGTTCTTAAGGGAGGGCGGTTCAAGGGGGGTATTTACTTAATAATACTCCCCACTACTCCCTGAGGCTCCCCAAGCTGCCCCCAGGTTCCCTGGGTACTTACCCCCCTTGAACCTCCCTCCCTTAATAAGTTGGGGGGTTCCAGGTGCACACCGGAGACGCAACCCCGGAAGGGGTCCTGGGGCAAGTACTCTAAAACCCTAAACTCGAAACCCTAAACCCTAAACACTGTGGCCCAGCACTTCGAAAGGTGGGTTTGGGGGGGGGGCTAGTCGTCTTGTTTGTTGTAGGGTTTAGGGTTGAGGCCAGACTCTCAGGCCATGATAATTATAAGGTTCTAAGTAGACTTATCATCGGAGTTATGAGTACCCATGAGCGTCTGCCGAGCATGACCCTAAAGCCTGAAACTCTACCCTCCCCACCCCCCAGATCCTTCTTCGAAAGTCGAAGGAGCAGAACATGACGAAAAAAACTGTTGGGTTCGACTGGGGCGCGGGCGCTGTTGGAAACTCCGTCTGGACTGGAGTCCGCCTCTCCGGCTGCGTTCTGGGGGCGTTCTGGGGGGCGTTTTGGGGTGGTTTACGGTTTAGGGTTTAGGGTTTAGGGTTTGGGGGGTTGGGGGTTTGGGGGTTTGGGGGTTTGGGGGTTTGAGGGTTTGGGGGGTTTGAGGCTTTTGGGGTTTGGGACTTGGGGGTTTAGGGGGTTTTCGGGTCTCGGGTCGACTGTTCCAAGCAACCTCCCACAGTTCCTAAAAGCTTCAGCTCTTGCAAAAATGGCTGAAGGAAGGCGCAAGCCTCAAACCTCAAGAGGAATCCCCTCATGCCTTGGTTTATGGACTACTTTGTGCCATGAAGTGGACCTGGAAAATTTTTTGCAAGGCGTCGGATCCTGTCCCGAACCGAAGGTGCCAAAGCCCTGAATCAGGCCTTCTGTGGGCCTTCTTCGGCCCCCGAGGAACTGGGATGTTCCCCCTTATACAAACAGTCCTGAATAAGAAACAATAGTAGGGGGTACTAGAATCCCTATTCAGGACTGTTGTTAGTCTAAGGGGCAACATCCCAATCTGTGAATGTTCTACTCTTGGGCTCATCGCGCCCAAGAGACAGCTTAAAGGAATCTCTCCGGCTAGAGGCCAGCTATCTTGAGATCCCATTCAAAGCCTCAGTCCTCAGCCCTATACCCTACACATCCCTACACGCTAAGCCCTAAACCCCAAACCCTGAAACGCAAACCCTAAACCCTAACCCCCCTGATGCAGTTGAGAGAGTTAGGTACCCGATATCGTCCCTTAAAGTATATATATATATATATATATATATAGAGGGGGATATACGGTACCCACTTCCCTCATTCCCTACTAAGAGCCAGTACCAAGAGCCAGTAGGAAAAGGGACGAGGGTCGAAGTTAAGAGGTAGGGAATCCTGCTCGCAACTCAGGCAGGAAATGTAAGACATAACGCACATCTTCATATAGTTACTGTACATCAGCCCAAAAAAATGTCTTTACACGACTTGGTACGTAAAGCGCGCTTGTACCTACTTGTCATATGTGTAAATGATTTGACCAAGCAAGGTGGATCCTCAAGGTCTCAGCCTCATACAGAGGAGGGTTGAAGCACTAAGCACTAAACCCTAAACCCTAAACCCTAAACCCTAAACCCTAAACCCTAAACCCTGAACCCTGAACCCTAAACCCTAAACCCCAAAGCCCATCTCAGGACTCTGTGACCTGCTTAAGCACCTCGGCATCACGCGGCCATCCAAGGACTCTTGGGATTGAGAGGGGGGGGGGGGGGGGGGGGGGGGTGGGGGGTTAGGTTAGGGTTGTTAGGGTTTTTAGGGTTTTTAGGGTTTTAGTGTTTAGGGTTTTAGGTTTATGTTTTTAGGGTTTTAGTTTTTTAGGGTTTTAGGGTTTTAGGGTTTTAGGGTTTTAGGGTTTTAGGGTTTTAGGGTTTTAGGGTTTTAGGGTTTTAGGGTTTTAGGGTTTTAGGGTTTTAGGGTTTTAGGGTTTTAGGGTTTTAGGGGTTTAGGGTTTAGGGTTTTAGGGTTTAGGGTTTTAGGGTTTAGGGTTTAGGGTTTTAGGGTTTAGGGTTTCAGGGTTTTAGGGTTTAGGGATTCGGGTTTATGCGAACTGTCATGCGGACACTCCGAACCCTGCCCTCCCCAGCACTCCGAAAAGGTGGGTTTGGGGCATATTGTTTTTTTTTGGGTTTAGGGTTTGGGGTTTATGGTTTGAGGTTTAGGGGCGTTACGCTGCAACCTTATTATGGGGGCCACATGGAGGGACGAATGGTGCTCTCTTCTAGGGGCTTGTAGGCACCTCTAGAAACGCCTAACTTTGAGGAAGGTTCTCTGGGTGTGAAACTTTAGAGGTGCGTTCATGTCCCGAGGGTGGGTTCTTTCTAAGGGTTTAGGGTTTAGGGTTTAGGGTTTAGGGTTTAGGGTTTAGGGTTACCCTCATTTACAGGGTTCTGATACAGGGTTCGGATTGGGGGTGATTCAGAGAGCGCAAAAAGACGCATGAATGTTGTGCCCAGGGTTGAGGATTCTAGGGTTTAGGAACCCTCAGCCCTAAACCCTGATAGAAAACCTGAGCCAAGGTCCGCGCAGAGGTATGCAATCCTCTGCTGGATCGAATGTATGACTCTCAGGTACTTCCCCGACTACACCGCCTCTAGAGCAGTTTTAGGACCCAAGCACTGCGCTGATGTTGTTAAATTGGTTCGCAGTTCTCTTTTGAGACAACGCCGAAGCGTGCGATGCAGCACAAGCGCTTAGGGCCCTAGCAAAAGAGAAACCTGAACCCTACAAACCCTAAAAAATCCTAAACCCGAAGCCCTAAACCTAAACCCTAAGCCCTAAGCCCTAAGCCCTAAACCCTAAACCCTGAACCCTAAACCCTAAACCCTAAGAAGAGGAGCACCGCTTCGTCCACTTCGAAGGGCCCCTGGGTGAGCTTCCGCAGGCGCGGGGCCCTTGAGGATTTGGGTTTTAGGGTTTAGGGTTCAGGGTTTAGGATTTAGGGTTTACGGTTCAGGGTTTAGGGTTTAGGGTTCAGGGTTGAGGGTGGTCCCCAAAACGAGCAGTTTGGGGTGGGTACCCCAAATTGTTTCAAAAGACAGTTAGGGTCCATAAGCCCTCAACCCAAAACCCTCAACCCTCAACCCTAAACCCTCAACCCTAAACGCTAAACCCTAAACCCTAAACTCCAAACCCTAAACCCTAAACCCTAAACCCTAAACCCTAAACCCTAAACCCTAAACCCTAAACCCTAACCCTAAACCCTAAACCCTAAACCCTAAACCCTAAACCCTAAACCCTAAACCCTAAACCCTATACAGGGAACTCCCGGCTTCGGAACCTTCAGTGCAGGACACGTTGCGCAACTCTCTCTTTTGCTGGGTTCAGGGTTTAGGGTTTAGGGTTTAGGGTTTCGGGTTCCAATGGTTAGGGTCCCTTTATCAATCTATTCTACTAACCCCCCGAGACCCTGCTCTAATAATTAAGGCCCCTATATTACACCCCCTGAACCCAGGTATCTTTGAACACTAACCCTACACCGGACATTGAACCCGCAGTATCCTTAAACTCTGCACCCTAAACCCTAAACCCTAAACCCTAAACCCTAAACCCTAAACCCTAAACCCTAAACCCTAAACCCTAAACCCTAAACCCTAAACCCTTAGTAGCCTTCTACCCCTGAGGGCAAGACTGGCTCGTATGGCACCTCAATCGACATTGGTTGGGCCCTGGACCGCACGGGCATGTGGCCGTTTCTCGGAAGCTAGGGTTTAGGGTTTAGGGTTTAGGGTTTAGGGTTTAGGGTTTAGGGTTTAGGGTACAGGGTAAGGGGTAAGACCCCTCAACCCTAAGACCCCTACACCCTGAAGCCTCTACCCGAAACCCTGAAGCCCTCCCTCTAATCCCCCTAAACCATCTAAACCCTTTAAACCCTCTAAACCCTCTAAACCCTCTATACCCTCTAAACCCTCTGAACCCTCTAAACCCTCTAAACCCCCAAAACCCGCAACCTTGGGCTGTGATCCCTGGTCCTGATGTCGCTTCAGGAGCCCCGAAACCCTGCAAGCTCAGTGGTGCCGCGGTTTAAGGTTTTCGGGGGTTTTAGGGTTTTGGTTTTAGGGTTTTGATTTTAGGGTTTTAGGGTTTTAGGGTTTTAAGGGTTTAAGGGTTTTAGGGTTTTAGGGTTTTGGTTTTAGGGTGTCAGGGTTTCAGGGTTTCAGGGTTTTGGGGTGTTCTAGGGTGTTAGGGCTTTAGGGTTTTGGTTTTAGGGTTTCAGGGTTTCAGGGTTTCAGGGTTTCAGGGTTTCAGGGTTTCAGGGTTTTAGGGTTTTAGGGTTTTAGGGTTTTAGGGTTTTAGGGTTTTAGGGTTTTAGGGTTTTAGGGTTTTAGGGTTTTAGGGTTTTAGGGTTTTCGGGGTTAGGGTTTGCAGGTGCTTTTGGGTATAGGGTTTTAGGGTTTTAGGGTTTAGGGTTTGCAGGTGCTTTAGGGTATGGGGTCTAGGGGTTGGGGGTTTAGGGCTTCTAGGGTTTCAGTTTTTTACGTTCTGGTTTCAGGGGCCGGGGGTTTGGGGTTGAGGTTTAAGGCTCATGAGGGTTGAGTGTCCTCCGGGTTGAGGCAAAAGGAGGGTACCCTGATTGCAGCACGATGGCTGGGAATTCATCAAGCACTTTCAGGGTTTCGGGTTAGGGTTTAGGGTTTAGGGTTTAGGGTTTAGGGTTTAGGGTTTTAGGGTTTAGGGTTTAGGGTTTCCCTTAAGAACCCTATAAGCTAAGCCCTCTTTCGTCGCACAGCTTCGGCGGACAGGACCGGGAGCGTGATGTGCTCTTGGCATTTAAGCAGCCGCTTGGCATGATATCGACGAGATTCTGTCGTGTTTTGGTCATGTGACGAGCACCGAGACCATGATAAGACATTGTAGCTTGTGCGACAGAATCCTTGCGACTCCTTCGACGCCCACCATCTCCGTCATTCTGCCCTGTTGGGTTTTCTTCACAAAGCTCTGCTTGCTGCCAGTGCCTCCTCTGTGTGTTACAGCTTCCGAAACCCCAGGCCTTGGGGCCACTCCCAACCACGTCTGGGCCCTAAACCCGAAATCCTAAACCCGGAGCCCTGAGCCCTGAAACCCTGCACCCAAAACACAGCACTGTAAGAAAGCAGGCCTGAACTCTAAACTTCCAGCTGGTGGGTTTCCGAAAGTAGGGGTACCCTTTTGTGAGGAACCTTAGGCGTCATTTGGGGGTCATCTAGGTCTACATAGGTATGGTTCATCCTAGACTAAGGGTTATAGATATTTTGGGGGTATATTGCGGCGTACCCCTATCTTGGGACATGCCCACGTAAAGCCCTGTGCCAGCAACTCCAGACTCTTGTGTTCGGGTGCTTGCGGGCTCGCGCTCAGGGTGGTTTGCACTAAACCCTAAACCCTAAACCCTAAACCCTAAACCCTAAACCCTAAACCCTAAAGCCTCCCTAAACCCCAAACCCTCCCTAAACCCTTCAAGGGGTCTCAGACATCCAATCCTCGATCGCCTCTCACTTGAAGAGCCTCGCACGGTGCAAGGAACGGCGAGCTTCTGACCCCTGATCATGGCGCTCCACTGCGAACGTCACCTGGGTTCGAAGATTCGTGGTGAACAAGTCCCTAAACTCTACGTAAGCCCTGAATGACCCTTTTGTTTGTTCTCTTTCTCTCTCTCTCTCTCTCTGCTTCTCCTTCTCCTTCTCCTTCTCCTTCTCCTTCTCCTTCTCCTTCTCTCTCTCTCTCTCTCGCTCTCGCTCTCGCTCTCGCTCTCGCTCTCTCTCTCTCTCTCTCTACTCTCTCTCTCTCTACTCTCTCTCTCTCTCTCTCTCTCTTTACAGCGGTTGCCACGTTGTTTGAGGTTTCGGGGCCTTTGCCGCGCGGCGGGTGTTTCTTTTGTGTTTTCCCTTTGTGGTTAGGATTCAGTGTTTCGGGTTTAGGGTTCGGGGGGGGGTTCAGTGTTTACAGGGCAGTTTTGAGGAGTTTTGGGGCTGCTGAGCTTTGGATAAACAGCCCTTTTTCTAAGCCCTGCTCAGACCAAGCTCCGTTCTCGTATCCAAGCTTTAATGCGGTGTAGGGTTTAGGGCTTAGTCTAGGGTAAAGCCCTAGAGCCCCAAGCCCTAGAGCCCCAAGCCCCCTGAAACCCGAGAGTTTGCTGAAGGGTTGAGGGTGCCAGGGTGGACAGCATGTCTTTCACCATGTGCGCAGTGCGTGCATGTGTAGCATGTCGGGTCTCGGGCTTAGGGGGCCGGGGCACGTCTGTGTCTCCATGAGAAGGCTGCTGCCTGGATGCATCGGCGGCCGCATGATCAAGTGGCTCACTTCCATGTGGGTCACCCGACTGCATCCCGAGTCCCAACTGTCCGGTGGCCCCTGCGAAGCATGTCGCGAAGTCCGCCAGTAGCCCCGAACCCCAAAAACCCTAAACCCTAAACCCTAAACCCTAAACCCGAAACACTTTATCTCCTAAACCCTAAACTCCAAACCCTATGAACCCTAAACCCTAAGCTAAACCCTAAACCCTAAAAGATAAACCCTAAATCCTATTCATCCCGGCTCCGATCATCGATGGAGGAATCGACATGAACGCAGCCAAAGCCGAGAAGGGGGTGCGGGGGTAGTGGGGAGGAGTACTGTTGATCAATGTTGATCACAACAAGTTGTGCGACCCTACCCTACACCCTAAACCCTAAACCCTAAACCCCAAACCCCAAACCCCAAACTCCAAACCCCAAACCCGAAACCCTAAACCCAAAATTCCGAGGTCTCGGATCAGCCCTCAGAGAACCACTACCACTACTTCGACAACCGAGTCCTCCCCCCTCACGTGGATGCGGACCTCGCTTATGCAGAGGGCGCCTCGGGAAAAAAGATCCTGCCTGGGGTTTGGGGGGGTTTAGGGGGTTGCGGGCGTGTTTAGGGGATATAGGGGGGGTTTAGGGGGGGGATAGGGGTTTAGAGGGCTCTTAGGGTTAGAGGGTTGAGGGTTCGGAACTCGGGCGAGTTGATTTTGGGCTCCGCAAGGGTGTGCATGGGAGCTGGACTATGGAATACCGGCGCTGTGTCCCCTTTACCAGCAAACCCTAAACCCTAAAAACCCTAAACCCTAAAAACCCTAAACCCTAAACCCTAAACCCTATTAACAATGCCCTTGTCCAATGCTTGCGCACCCACAGATCTTCCCACCCCTTCAACTTCACCGACCCCGGTGAGGAGTTTCGTATGGTTCAAGGTAAAAGGATCTTAAGACAGGCAAGCCCAAGCGTTTAGCAGGAAAAACACGGGAATGTAAGGACCCTGGTAGGTATATTCCTATTACATTCATTCCTGCTATATTCTTGGGGCTCCATGTTTATTGTTATTATTATTACTACCATTATTATGATTCTTATTATGGTTATTATTATTAGTATTATTATTAGTATTATTATTATTACTATTATTATTATTATTATTAATATTATTATTATTATTAGAATTATTTCATTACTACTACTATTACTATTATTATTGTTCTTCTTCTTCGTCGTATTTCTGACTATTATTATGCTGATGATGATAACTATTACCATTATTATTCTTGTTACTCTTCTTCTTCTTGTTCTTATTTCTGACGATTATTATTATTATTACGATTATTACGATTACTATGATTATTGTGATTATTCTGATTATTGTTAATATTTTTCTTGTTCCCATTATCATTGTTATATGTAGTTCGTTTTTGATTGAACAAATCCCTTGACAAAGGCTGGTGGTACAAGCCGGAGTACATCATCAACCACATGAACATCAACTCGGCCATGCGGCTTGGCTGTCTCCACCCTAAAGCACCCTAAACCCTAAACCCTAAACCCCTAACTCCAAACCCTAAACCCGAAAACCCTAATACCCCCCTAAGCCCCCCCAATCCTAGGTGGAGCAAACTCCTCAATTCCCAAGCCGCAATTGATGTCCGCTAGATGGCTTTTGAATTGTGATCTGGGGTTGCTGGGGTCAGGGTTTGGGTTTAGGGTTTAGGGTTTAGGGTTTAGGGTTTAGGGTTTAGGGTTTAGGGTTTAGGGTTTAGGGTTTAGGGTTTAGGGTGTAGGGTGTAGGGTTTAGGGTGCAGGGAAATTTTAAAACTGGGCGCGTGAAGGGCTTCGGCACTTTGGGCTCCGAGGCTTGACGGCTTTCTTCGGGGTTTTTGGGTGGCTTCGGAGGGGATATGCCAACCCTAAACCCTAAACCCTAAACCCTAAACCCTAAACCCTAAACCCTAAACCCTAAACCCTAAACCCTAAACCCATTTTCGCCAAGCCCTACACCCGGACCCTAGACATCTTCAACTTGCGGGTAGGGAATATGAGGAGGGATGTTATATGTTACGCGCATACGTACCCTTTGAAGGCAGTACATCGTGTGCCCTAATTCCCTTCGTCCCTGCCAAGAACCAGCAAGCAAACCCTGGACCCTGGCCCTACAAGCCCTACTTAGAAGCTCTTTTGACTTAGTATGTCTATTTGGTATGGCTTGGAAAACCCATTAGAATCCCTATAACCTACCTTACTAATCCTACTTGCTAAGTTAAAAGTGCTTCCAAAACCCCCCCAAAACGCCCCCCCAAAACCCAAAACCCCCCCACAACCCCCCCAAAACACCCCCAAAACACCCCCCAAAACCCCCCCCAAACCCCCCCCCCCCAAGCATTCCCCAGCTTGCTGGGAGGTTCGAGCCCCGGCACAACTCCTTCGTGCACATGGGCGACGGGAACGCCCCAGCCACGATCAAGGCCCCCTGCTTCCCTAAAGCCTAAACCCTAAACCCTAAACCCTAAACCCTAAACCCTAAACCTAAACCCTAAACTAAAGAGGGGTTTAGGGTAGGAACCCTAGCACCTGAATTGCGCTTTTTTTATGCAGCCTAATCGTTTTGGGTTTTGGGTCTAGGGTTTAGGGTTTAGGGTTTAGGGTTCAGGGTTTAGGGTTTAGGGCTAGGGTCATGGTTTTTGCGCGCCATCCTCACCGGGCATGGCGGGAGGTGGCGCACTGCGCCCCCGTGCTTGCCGAAAAACCCCAAAACCCCAACTAAGAAGCCTGCATGAACCCTAAACCATAAGCCCTAAACCCCTCAACTCCCCGACCTGCTTGGCGCCTCAAACCCTACCCCGAATCTGTCTTGGTGGCAGGTCTCTGGCTATGCCTACACTGGGGGAGGTCACATGATCATCCGCGCCGAGATTTCCCTGGATTCTGGCGACCCAGCGTGCAAGGGTTCAGGGTTTAGGAGGTTCAGGGCTTTAGGGGGTTTTAGGGGGTTTTGGGGGGTTTAGGGGGTTTAGGGGGTTTTAGGGGGTTTAGAGGGTTTGGGTTTAGGCAAAGCCCTGCTGATGCCAGAAGCACCTTCAGCTGCACCCCTCAAGCCCTGAAACCCTCAAACATTCAGACCCTTGACCCTGAATCTTCCAGAAAGGCCCTAGAAGCCGGCCCTTGTTCCCTTTTGTTAAGGTGGGTTTAGGGCTTAGGGTTTAGGGTTTAGGGTTTAGGGTTTAGGGCCAGGACCCGGGGTACGTAGGCCCTTATTTCCCGTTTTTTGAGGGCTCAGGTTCCCTTCCAAGCCCCCTTTAAAGCCAAAAAGGGCACCCTTTTTCATTCCTAGGTTACTCTTGGGTCTATGCACCAGCCTCGAAAGCTGACAATAACAGTTTAGGGTTCCGTAGTGGGGCCGCAGTGGGGCCCAAAACCCTTCAAAGCCTCAACCCTCAAACCTCATTCCACGACACCCCCTAAACCCTAAACCCTAAACCCTAAACCCTAAACCCTAAACCCTAAACCCTAAACCCTAAACCCTAAAGATGGAACTGCCAAGTCGTAAGCCCGAAACCCTAAATCCCAAACCCTGTATCAAAAAGCCCCGATCCATCCCAAATCCCAAATCGAGAATCCTGCCACCTAATATCATGGTTTCGGGTTTAGGGTTGAGGTTGCCCTAAACCCTAAACCCTAAACCCTAAACCCTAAACCCTAAACCCTAAACCCTAAACCCTAAACCCTAAACCCTAAACCCTAAACCCTAAACCCTAAACCCTAAACCCTAAACCCCAAACCCTAAAAACCGTAAGACCTAAACCCTACACCCTACACCCTAAACCCTAAACCCTAACCCCGACGCCGTCCAGGCAAATCCTGGGAAATCACCGACCTGACTCGACCGGAGGACTCTGGGCAAAGGGGTCCTGGGCGTGGGTTCGGTCGTCTTCTTTGGGGCCTCGGGTTTAGGGTGGAGGGTTTAGGGTGCCAAAGAAGAGGTGCTAGGGCTCCTGGGTTCTGAGTCAACACTTCCCCTGGTGCGCACGAATGAAGACAACCAAGAAAGCAACTGTATTCTTTCTAGGATAGCCGCGCCCTCGAGACCCCGAAGCCGGGAGGCCCCGAATCCCCTCAAAGCGCGAAAGCCGCAAGCAAAAGGGTTTAGGGTTTAGGTTTGGGGTTCAGGTTTTAGGGTGAGTTTGTTGCTTCACTTGCCATATCCGTTGAGTGCCTATAGTGCATCACACGCTGGAAGTTGGAGGTTCCATCTGCGAACAGAAAGTTCAACCTTGAAGAACTGCATGGACACGTTCCAAACTTCACATCAAGCACTGCAACCCAAAACCCTATACCAAAACCCTGAAATCCTATACCCTAAACTGCTGCACTCGAGTCTGTCGGTGGGCCATAGAGCGGACATGTATAGCATCAGGGTGGTTGGATGGGCACAAGCTTAAAGCTGAAGGTTTATGGCTCATTAGGGAGTAGGGCCCCACAAAAACCTGCAACTCAACACCCCGCACCGGAAACCCTCAAAATCCCAAACCTCTTCCCTTTGTCATAGTTGGATACAATTTCACATGTTTAAGGGTACTTAAACCCAATAAGGAATGTAATTTAAATTTAAAAATTGCCCCAACCGCGAACTAGTTCCACCACGCCTGAAGGATGAGATTGCTGCTGCACGTGGTACAGACAAGCACTGGCGCCACGCTCCGGAGGGTTTTGCCTGATAGGGGGGGCGCCTTAAGTTCCAACTCCAAACCGCTTTTCTTTGTTGCCCTACACACTAACCCCTAGCCCTAAGCCCTAAACCATTAACCTAGACCTTAAACCCTAAACCCTAAGCCCTCAACCCTAAGCCCAAAACCCTAAACCCTAAGCTCTGAGCCCTTCTCCAAATTTAAACAAAAGTCTTCAACCCCACACCGGCTCCACAAGGCCGCGAAAACCGGAAATGCAAGCTGTGAAACACACCCTGAACCCACGATTCGGGTTTGGGGTTTAGGGTTTAGGGTTTGGGGTTTAGGGTTTAGAGGGTTCTAGCAAACGCCTAAAAACCCAAACTGAAGTCACAAAAAGTCTTGAAGCCCCAACACATTCCAAAACTCTAAAGACCAACCCCCCCCCCCCAAAAAAAAAAAAAAAAAAAAACGGCAAAATCAAGCCAAATCTGACAGAACCGTAACCCTGGACCCGAAACCCCAAACCATAAACCGCAAACCCTAAACCCTAGAAACCTTGAACCCTACACCCTAAACCCTAAACCCTAAACCCTAAACCCTAAACCCTAAACCCTAAACCCTAAACCCTAAACCCTAAACCCTAAACCCTAAAGCCTGAACCCTAGGTGCTGGGCTTGGTGGGAGACAGAGGCGCGCTGGTGGTTTGAGTGGGGCTTCGGGGGCTCGGGATTAGGGTTTAGGGTTTAGGGTTTAGGGTTCAGGGTTCAGGGTTTAGGGTTTAGGGTTTAGGGTTTAGGGTTAGGGTTTAGGGTTGGGGTTGGGTTTAGGGCCAGAGCACTTCGGGTTGCGGGCGCGCTAGGGGTCGGTTTACGATGTAGGGTTCGAGGGGATTCGAGGGGCATTGGGTTTCTTTCTGCGTTGCGGGTTTAGGGTTGAGGATCCCCCCT